TATGCAGAACTCATTATAAAGAATAATTATTTTCGTAAAATTATTAATAAAAAAGTTTATGTATAATATATATATATATATATATATATATATATATATATATATATATATATATATATATATATATATATCAGGGGTGTCCAACTTGCAATGCCTCAAGGGCCAAAACTAAAACCTTTGATGTTTTAGCGGGCCATATAATAATTTTGTTACCAGTAATAACAAAATAAAGTGAGGTATAAAAATAATTAAAACAAAAAAGAGTATTATTTCTTTTATTGCTCAACAGCTACATTTTTTTATAAACGGAAAATTTATTGATAACACTTTTCAATAATCAAGACAAACATTGCAAAAGCAACGAAAAAGATGTATCTAATTAGTGTAAGGACTGTGGTCGATCGGCTTCATCCACCAATGAAGAAATGTCCACCTCCAGTTCAGTTGTAGACACTCTCTGATGTCAAGAAGATCGGTAAGGTTGCTTCTGTTTTTATTTTTTATGTATTTCATGGAGGAAAAGGCACTTTCACATGTATATGTGCTTCCGAACATTGACGTCATTTTCAGTCCAAAATCTCGCAGGTTTGGGAATTTCTCCTTTGACAGTAATTTGAAAAATTCAGGTCCCTTTTCTTGTGCGGTGATTAGGAACATGTCTGCTTGAAGATCACATAACTCAAGCTGTAAGTTGGGTGGTTGATCATCAATGGTTGCTCCAAAAGGGTTATTATAAAGTAGTACACTGCTTTTGAGACTTTCAATTTCTTCAAATCTTGTATTGAATTCATCAATAACTTGTTCAATTTGTGTAATTCAGGGTAAAACCTCAATATTTTCCTCACCGTTGAATTCTTCTGCTATTTGCAGACAGATAGGGAAGTGCGTCAGGTTGTTCTTTTCCAAAGCACGTTTAAACACGTTCAGCTTATTCCGGAATCCGTTTATCATTCCGATCAAATCTGAAACCGTCTGATTTCTTCCTTGAAGACTCAAGTTTAACATGTTAAGATGATTAGTCAGATCTGTTATAAAAGCTTACTGTCTTAAGAGTTCTGGATCCTTAAACTTCTCTTCCAGTTCAGTTGTGTCAGATGAAACGTATTTGTTGAGGAATGCAGGGATTTTCTTTCTTATGGCAAAAAATCGTTCCATGTACTTTTCTGCACTCAGCCACCTTACATGGTTGTACATTAGTAAGTCTTCATACTCAACATCTGTTTCCACTAAAAACTGCTTAAGTTGCCGGTGTAAAAGAGATCGATTTCCACCTCTAATCATATAATCTTAATCACGGTTTGGAGAACTTGATCTTCCTTGACTGATTTTCCACATAAAGCTTCCTGATGTAGAATACAATGAATTGTTGGGCAAGTGACATCATTGTCTCGAAGCAGACCCATTAATCCAATTTTTTTACTTATCATTGATGGGATGTTGCTATGGGTGAACATTTATCAAAGCCTCCAATTCTGTCAACTGTTTTCTTCACAGCCTCATAGATGTCTTTTCCTTTTGTTGTTCCATAAAGAGGACAAATATAAAATAACTCCATTTTACTGGTAAAATCATCAAAAGTAGTGCGCACAAATATTAACAGCTGACTAACATCAGTTTGATCAGTGCTTTCATCCAAACAAAGTGAGAAATATGAACTTTTCTTAACCAGGCTAAGCATAGATTTTTCTACTTGCTCACCCATAGCAACAATCCTTCTTTGTATGGTTTGATGTGAAAGTGGCACTGATTCAAATTTCTCCGCCATTTTAGAATCACCGAAAGCTTTGGCCATTTCAACAGCACATTTTTTTATCAAATTGCCATCAGTGAAAGGTTTTTTTGCCTTTGCCAGCTCAAGCGACACGGCATAAGATGCATGCAAAGAATGCGTTTGAGAGTGTAATATTTTACTGAACATACCAGTTTGCTGTTTAAGCTTTTTCTTCAAATCTGCAACTAGGGCACGCCGACTTTCATTTGTGTACGTAGCATACTTATTTTCATGCACTGTTTTGTAATGTCTTCTCACATTATATTCTTTAGGCACTGAAACGACATTCATGCACACTAAGCACTGCAACTTTCCATTATTGTTAGCAATCAAGTAATCACTCTCCCAACTTTCTTTGTAAATTCTGTTCTCACTATCAATTTTCCGTTTTACTGGTTTTACACTCATTATTGTATAAGAGGAATCAAGACAAAGAATTAATCAAGTTCACTGTTCACTAGCAACGTAATAGATTAGCCGACTAGCCTACGTGTCAGTAGCACACTGGCACGATGGCGGCTGGCGACGGATGGTAAGCAGTGGGAGGTGTGGCCTGCGTGAACTGTGATGCGCAGTAATCAGTGCAGTTCTCATAGTGGTGGAGGAAGATTGTGTTCGTTACACGTCCGCGAAGCGGCACGCGGTACAGTACTTGTGATGTAAAAACACTGCTAAACCATAAAATATAAAATAAATTAAAAAATCTTTTTTCACAGTGGCAGCATTTAAAGAAAATATATGCTTTTCGAAAATCTTACGTGGGTCACAACAAATAGCCTCGCGGGCCGGATGCGGCCCGCGGGCCGCCAGTTGGACAACCCTGATATATATGTTTATGTTCATATATGTATAATATATATATATATATATATATATATACATATATATATATATATATATATGTATATATATATATATTATATATATATATGTATATATATATATATATATATGTATATATATATATATATATATATATATATATATATATATACATATATATAATATGTATATATATATATATATATATATATATATATATATATAATATATATATATATATATATATATATATATAAGGATCACTCAGACAAGTGGTGGGTTCTTATATCGGTCTCAAGGTGGAGAAATAAAAGACAAAGTTGATAGGCTACTTTATCTATTTTGAAGACGTTTCGCTTTCCTATTCTGAAAGCATCATCAGTTCATCTTAAAAAGACATGTAGCAGTCAAAGATATTAACAAGTATGTGAATAAACCTCAAGTAAATGGAAATTATATGGTGATATTGTATAAACAATCAAGTAACAAACAACATATAGCAACTTATAAAAAATTAGCACAGCAACTGACCGTGTGGTCTAAGTAAATGAAATATTATATTTAATCTTAAGTAGTGGAAAAGAACCAAGAAAATCATAGATTTACTTCCAACTATTTGATAATTATTAAGCTTTGATTTTAACTTTAGGTAGCATTATAAGTGATGTTAATAAAAAATTATTTCAAAAGTAGTGTAAATGAAGTTACCGATCAAAGCTTTACAGCTGCCGCCGGAAAAAAAATTATTGTGTGGGCGAAAAAATTAAACTAGCGTCAAAAATAAAACCCCATCATTTCCAGCATAAAGTATAATTTAGCGTTTACCATTACCGGAACGACTAAAAGAATAACATTTCTTGGTGCCATCTTGCCAGGATGATTTTGACATATTTCCCTTAGCAAAAATCCAAGTTTCATCTAAAAATACAACTTGCCTCAGACTATCAAACATTTGTATTTTCTTATAAAATGACACCGTTCTGAAATAATATTAGAGAGTTCACACAATACTTGTCTATTATTTGTCTTTTTATATCGGAAATCTAAATGTTTCAGTACTATCCACAAAGTTCTTAAACTAATATCACACAGTTCCGTGTCTTTTATTTTTTATAACACAGCACTAATTGTTACATGTTACTTGGATTTATACATATTATATAATATTTTTAATTGCAAGATTAAATGACTGGTGCAAATATACAGTTTTTGGATGTCGACGATTTCTCTTGCTTACTTTATTTATTTAATCCTCACTTATGTTATTAATCCTTCGGAATCTCCTCTCTGAGATACCGCAAGCATCGCATGTGCGTTTCTGAACTGCCAGAACAGATATCAATGGACCCATATTATTTTTTTTCAAACTGAAATAACTGTCGACTTTCGGAACTAAACGCCGTTCTTCTGGAGACTTCTACTGTATTTTATTTTCTTCCAAATCACTTATTTTACTTTAAATTACGGCTTTAATACACTAGTATAAAAAATGGGTACTTATATACAACTACTACACCCTTAAAAGGACCAGGGTTGTACAACAGACGAAACAATCGAACACAAATTATTTAACAGCCAATGCTAAACAAGCATAAACACTGCATTGATTGTGATTGCAAAAACCGTTCGCATGTTTTAAATAAGATTTTTGCTGATTATGTATTTTACTAAATTATTAAATAACACCAATACAACCCACGACCATCAATTAATTTTTAACGATAAACAGAAGTGTAATATGATGACAAGTTTGAATTTGATCCACTTTTTTGATAACAGTGTCGTTAACAGAAAGATATTTTTTAATAACATGAATCATTTTTCAATGATTGTGTGGATTTAAGAAATACATAACCAAACAAATTTTTAAATTAGTTATAAAGGAAGTTACATAAATTATGACATATAATGTTCCTTATTTTTTTAATAATGTGTTCTTGTAAAGGCATAACTTTGATTATTGGGTAAACCAACATTGTGCGATACGTCAGAAGAAATTAAAAAAAAAACATGTAAATTCACTATTTAAATAAATATTCCATACTTATACTATTGCAATAAAATATTAAAACCAATAAACGTGTTGAGCAGTGCTAACTGGAATAACAGAGCCATAAAATGTTACTCATAAAGGTAGTGTAAAATATATTGCCGCCTTTCTGGTCCTCTAGTAATAAAGTTACCAGCATTTAATTGCAAAGCGGTCTTCTCAGATGAAAAACACTTTAGCAAAAGGCATTTGATACAGTGATATGTAAAAATGTGCCTAAATGTGACTTAATTAGAAACCCATTTAATTTATTTATCTTAGTATTCCACTTCAATTGACGCGTAGTATATAATAGACAAACATACAAACATGTAAATTACAAAATACCTATCACTATATTTTCTAATTTTTTTTTAGGTGTATATGATTTTGGAAATGGAGGGTCAGATTTTGAGGACTTCCTTCATGTAGAAGAATTTCTGAAAATCGCGAAAGAGGAGGATCTTTTTGCACTTGTTCGAGCAGGTCCGTATATATGCTCAGAATGGGAATTTGGAGGATTACCGAGTTGGATACTAAGAAACACTTCATCAGTGAGAAATTCCAAAGATCAAAATTATTTAAGTTACGTTAAGAGATATTTTAATGTTTTGCTGCCATTATTAGCTCTCTTGCAATTTCAAAAAGGAGGCCCAATTATCGGATTTCAAATTGAAAATGAATATGGAAATACTGGAAATGATGATGTTGAATACCTTAAGTACATTCAACAAATTTTTAAAGATAATAATCTTATTGAGTTGTACTATACTTCTGATCCACCTAGTGCGAATGGACGTGGTGCTATACCGGGTGTTTTACAAACTGCGAATTTTAATTCTAATCCGAAGTGGCAACTAGACAAGCTTAACCAACTACAACATAATAAACCCACAATGACTATGGAGTTTTGGACAGGCTGGTTCGATCATTGGTTAGAAGATCATCATACCGTAGGTGCTCAACAATTTAAAAGTCTTCTAGAACAAATTTTGGATTATCCATCTTCCGTTAACCATTACATGTTTGTGGGTAAGTAAAATTAAAGATTCACTATTAAAGCCGTTTTTTATACTAGATATTTCTTTTAGTGTTTAAAAATTTTCGTATTATTTTTACATGCTTTGGCATCCCAGCCTATCCAAATTATCCGTTTTGTATTACCTTTTTTTATGTTTTGATAACTTAAACTTTTTCGATTATATTTAATGTTCTGTTCTCCATAAGTAGTGGTCACTACCACAAGTTCAACCTCTACTTCATTTACCAACTTGTCCTTTGATCCTATTGTTCATTTAATTATCAGTTATCCAATTAGTGAGAATATTACATTATCATTATAGCTTTGGTATGAGTCACTTATTTTAATTTTTCCAGTTTTAATATCGTTGATCAGTTTTTTTCGTACTTTCTAACTACCTTGTTATTTTTTTATGTTCTTTTGTTTGTGTCTATGGTTTAATTCTTTTAGTTAACCAATCTCTACAATATTTTCCGCCTGTTTTGCCAATTTAAGACTTTTTACATTAATTTGTTTACCCAATGTTATAATATGTCTTCTTAAAGTTTGTCTCAGAATACTTTTTACAGTCAGCTTATATGATATACCCAATTTTGTTTATTTCAAAATAATGACTAGTACTTACTCCAGAATTCAATGTGAGGAGAGTATGCCTTTATGTCTCCTCGGCAACTTGACGTTTTTTATATTGTTTGGTGCCTATATTCAACTTTTCAAGGGCTAGATTAGATTAGATTAAGAGAGGTGGCCTTTTGGCATATTCCACTGCGACCTTTTCAGATCTATTGTGGTCCTCTAGTCCTAGATAACATTCTCTAGCCTGACCCTCTTTATAAAGTCTAGTAGCTTCGAGACTGTACCTTCCATGTAGCTATTTGCCAGTGGATTTTCTTCTCCTAATGCAAAAAACCGCACATTTGCCAGACTGTCACACTGACATAAAATGTGCTCTGCTGTTTCTACTTCGAGGTGACAGAATCTGCACAGGTCATCATCTGATAATCCCATTAGCTTCAAGTGCCTATTCAGCTTACAATGCCCTGTTAAAAGACCTACTATGGCTTTGACTGTTTTCCTGTCTTTGCTAATTAGGTCTGCCGTAAATTCAAGGGCTAAAAACACGTCAGATAATTTGTTATTGACAATTCAACTGCTTTAATTGAGTATTTTTTAAACTATTAGAGATACATAATTTTACCAAAATGAAAATTGTTCATTTTAAAAAAATGAACTCAACAGCATTTGGTAAACCTTGAGCCGAATATTAGAAACGGAGTTATAACAAATTTCGTGAAAAAAAAAATGCAAAATTGCTATTCGATTAGGCTTTCTCAACTATAACTCAGCTTTCTTATGTGCAATTAACTTAAAACGTTTTATCTTTTTTATAACAAAAGTATTAAAAATTTCACTAAAAAGTTGCGAACTAATTTGTATATAAGAGAATTAAACTAAATTAATCTATAAACTTTGAAATTTGCCTAATGGAAATTATAGAACAACTGAAAACGAACATTTTAAGCTTTGGTAAATGTTTCTATGTTAGTTTTTGATTACGATATTACGGAACTTTTAATAACGCCTTCTGAGGCGCACGGTCAGCTCGCAGCGAATAAACACCAATAGTTACATAAGTAAAATTTATGTAGATTTAGAGATGTATATTAATTTATCATTAATAATAAAAAAGTTACAGCAGTTAGTATTTAAAATATTTGTTAAGAAGTGATGAATTAATTTTTTATAAAAGTTTTAAAGAAAATTAAGCCATAAATGTTGGCAGTTTGGTTAATAGAAGATATAAAACAATTCAAAACAAACAGTTTTTGCTTTGTATAAAAGTTTTTATGTTAATTTTTTGCCGAGATTTTAAAAATTAATTTTCGCGCGCTTGCATTCATTGCTAGCTAACCGTCCGTCTCAGAGTGCCTTAAGTTCCATTTCTTGGTGTTATTTTTTTCAAAGTTAAGTTGTTCTACAACTTCCATTATCTTGATTTTTAAAGTTTATAGCTTAATTTTGTTTAAATATCTTACAAACAAATTAGTTCGCAACTTTTTAGTGGAATTTTTAACGTATAATAGTTATAACTGTTTTCATAATAAAGATAAAGTCATTTATTGAAGTTTATTTTTAACTTTTACCTACGGGTGTCCGTTGATTAGTCAACTACCTGCGAAGTGTATTCTAGACACTAACGACTAAGAATGACTAAAAACGTAAATAAAAGCCACAACTAGGTATTTAAATACATAATATTGTACAAAATAAATACAGGCACACATTTAAAAAAATGTTGTAATGGTTGTAACTTTATTTTTCCCCAACAATGGCACCTATCCCGTTTTTTGGTGATTCTTCCTCGTGGTTATCTTGTGTGTTTTTATATTTCTTTAAGAATATAGTTAAACCCAGAGATAAACTCTGTATTTCAACCTTCTCAGAAAGGTGGGGTCTTATCAGTGACAATGGTAATCGTTTGGGAAATACTTTTCTACATTTTCGAGAATTGTGGATATTCGCAGCATTGTATAGGATCTGGATTCTTTGGGATACTCAATAGGTGCTGCGCATTTTGTCTACTGTGTCTAAACTTCCTTTATGTGAATTATAGTCTACAATTATCATTGGTTTTCCTGTTTCAGGATCTGCTGTAAAATTACTGTGCATGGGTGCATGGTAGATAAGATAATGGCAGCTTTATTCTTTTTTGGTGCATAGGAGATAAGTGCAAAGGATAAATAACTTTTGTTTAAAAACCAAAAGTGGACATTCCAATTGGTGTATTTTTACTCAGTTAAAACTCTGGAGGTAATGCCCTTTTATTTCGTTTTAGTGTGCGAACCATCGTTATCTTTTTTTTTCAAAAAGTTAATTGCCAAAGAGTAACTCGTATACCAATTGTCGCATATTAGGGCGATGGGTAGTATCCTTTGGTGTGTTTCTTGTAGGTTTCTTTCCGGATGTTGAACACAATATACCTCAAAATTGGTGACATTATAAGTCTCACACAATATAAACACTTTTAAGCCATACTTTGCAGGTTTAATTGAAATGTATTGAACAAAGCTGCTTGTATGATTAAAAGGTATCAACATTTAATCGATAGTGACTGTTTCTCCCAAAGAATAATTGCTACTAAAGTTTTTGATAAAAGTTTTAAGAAAAAACACAATGGCGGCTAGTTTGTCATTTAATTTTTGGTTCCTTGAATTCTTTTTGTTGTCAAACCTAAGAGCAGCAAGCAAAAATAAAAACCGATCGGCGCTTATACGGTGTTGAAAGATTATTTCTGAGCTGGTACCACATTTTGTCCATAATTCAAGGAAGTGTAAGATTTTGTTTTTTAATTTTTTTTTGATTTGGGATTTATTCTCTGCAAATATTATTATTTCTAATATTGCAACAAATCCGTCTTGGCCGTTTGTAATTTAAACGCATATTTGCAATCTGAAAATTTCTAAACACTTTTTCAAAAGCACTTTGTCCCGTAGTAACATCTCTCGTTCAAGCTTTTGGCCCAGGAAATATCTTGACAATATTTTTTGAAGGAGTTTTGCTATATTCGCTAACAAAATATTTTATGCCATTTAGTTTTTTGTCTTTCCCTGTATGATACCCAGTTACAAAAAAACATGTTAAGGAAAACCCTAAATGAAAGAAAGCATGCAGACCTTCAGTCAGCATTCATAAATTATAGAAATTATCCATTAAAAGGTATGGGATACTCCCCATCACAACTTCTTAATAGCAGAAGATGTAAAACAAAAGTTCCAATTTCAGTTGATTTGTTACATCCCTGTTTGTGTGAAAATGTTGTAATGAAAATGAAAGCTAAAAAAGAATTAAATGAGACAACTTTTAATAAAAATACAACAATATTGAAACCATTGAACAGGGACATGGATGTAACAGTCTTTGATCACGTGTAATACCACCTGGAAGTCTGCAAAAATCTTGAATCAACATGAAGCGCCTAGACGATACATCCTGTAAGATGACAGTGGAAACATTATCAGAAGAAACAGATCTCACATAAGACCATCAGTAAATAAACATGTTGTAGACTGTGGTGATGATCGTCATTTGGCTGGCAACGGTTGTGTATTTAATGAATTGCCAGACAGTGAAGGTATTAAAACACATCAGGAACATCAAACAATAGAAGTTTTAATCCATGATAATAACCATATACCTACTTGAAACATCAAGTCATAATATTTCTTACTGTACAAGGTCAGGGAGACAAATTAAAAAACCTTGTAAGCTGAACTTATAATGAAAAAGAAAAGAGGTTGTATGATACCTAGTTGAGTGACAATCATATTATTTATTTTGGTAACAAAATGGCATGACAGGATTTGACAGGGAAATATTATTAAGTTAGACAATGTTGAGAAGTTAGGTTACTGCAATGTTAAGTTATTATACTTGTTGCTTATACAATTAGATAAGATAGTATTTCTTTTATTTATTACACCTTCCATCAGACTTATATATTCGCTATAAAATAGTTAATGTCTTAATCCAGATCTGTTTTCGATGTTACTGTTTATGTCTGAGTCAAGCTTGTATTGATTTTTGTCATTCAGATTAACTTCCGATTAAGACATAGCCCTAAGTTCATCTTTTATTGTTAGTTTATTAAGATTTCTTACTGGTACACAATCTTTGCAAATTAGGTATTTTGTTATACCCGCGATTTATTTAAGAAACATGTATTGCTATAAAATAAAGAACATCAATAAACAAGACCAAACAAACAACTAAAATTTTGTTAAATAGTACAACAATAGGTATTTACAATAAATATCCAAATGGATAACGCATTTTAAGTTATGAGTAAATTATCATCATCATCAATGCGCTAGAACTCTTCGTGAGTCTTTGCCGCGTGTACTATTGCCTTCCATGTTTGTCGGTCCTGTGCCAGTAATTCCCATTGCCGCACTCTAGATCTTCTCTGACTGCATCTTTCCACCTTTTTCTAGGCTGCCCTACAGACCTTCTT